GGAGGCAGGTCAGGGGCTGACCTAACAAAAACATGGAGGGTTTCAGGGCATGCCGCCTTGAAATTAACCATGATTTGCAATTGCCCTTAGGCTAGGTTTGATCTCATTTGGGCTCGCGAGTTGAAAAGTAATTGGTTAGAACCAGAAATAATTGTCGATGGAGCCAAAACCCACACTCCATAGTTATTGTTGGGGCCAAGACCGGATTATAAATCCCTTTTGTACGTAGTTACACTAGTACTCACACAATAGGGAGAGCTTGTGCTCACTTACTGACTTTAACCCTATCCGTACATTGTGTTTTACTATCGTATCCATACGACGTGGGGGACTCTGTGCCCCCACTTTCCAAAGAGGAAATTTTCTTGTTAATCCGATCCATATATGCTTTGCATAGCAGTCTGTGAAAATGATTTTTTGAGAAGTACTGAATGTTTCAAAGACATCTTCGCACTAGAAGTATTTTAAAATGTGAAGTCTAATACAACCCCTGGAGTACAAAATGACCCCAGGCAGACGGATAAGGTTAAATTGTCTTACTAATTATTAGGAATATTCTTGTGACTTGTGTAGACTTAGCTGATTAAACTACTGACTCAGGAGTTTTAGAAGCAACTACTTCTCATCATTCGTGGAAAAACCTGTGTTCTGCCAAAATGTGATGAGGAATGTACAGTTTGGTTTTTCAAAATATGGGATGTAATGCGGCCTCTAATCAGCCAACGTCTCAATTTGCATCATCATCATCATCATTGCCTTTCTCACCCTGGATCTGGATATAGGCCATGAACAAACAGTTTCCACCTTTCCCTATCCTGGGCTAGTCGCTAGATGTCACTCCATGTCTTCCCACTTTTCTGAACATCCATTTCCGTGACTCTTCTCCTGGTTTCACATGGACTCCCTCTTGATCTTTTACCCTGTGGGTTCCAATCTAGCTCTTTCTTTGTTATGCAGCTGCTTGACTTCCTGAAAATGTGTCCAATCCATCGCCAACGCCTTCTTCCCACCTCCCCTCTGACTGGGCTCTGTCTCGTTCCTCTTAATACTCCTTGTTGGTGATCCTGTCTCTATCTGATCCTCAGTAACTTCCTCAGACTGTTCAAGAAAACCTGGATCCTCTTAATGCACATCTGAGATGCGTTCCACGTTTCACATCCTCAATTTGCATAGGTTGACCCAAAATTGGCTAAACTGAGGGTCGCTCCTCCCGTTAAAATCATATGTCAAGACGAAATATGCCATACTAAATGTTTATGAGCTCATTGCTAGTTAGCCAAAAATTTCTGTTTGTGTTGTTCTAGCCACAATTTTCAGTTGTTTGGCTACCTTTAGATACTTTCCCCATCATAATGATCATTTGAACAGGCTAATTATAGAGATAGGATGTTAGAGAGAAGAGAGGGGTTGTTTGTATGTGGAGTACAGGAGCAGTACATTTCCATTTCTTTGTCTCTGGAAAATGTTCCTGTGAGTATCAAGCAGGTTTATGTGTTAAAACGTTTTGGTGAAAAAACTCCAGCCTCTGAGTAGGTGTTCTAATGGTCAGATGATTAGGCTGTAAGACCTGTATCTGAAAGGTCATGGCTTCGAACCCCAGCCTTTTGAAAGGCACTTTACACAAAAGTTCCTCACTTTAAATGGTTTGACAGAATGGATTTTGTTTTACAAATCGAATATACTACTTTCACAACATGTGCTAAGACTTACGATAAAGAATGAATTTGAAAATAAAGGCAAAGGAGTGCAGCTTCCCTTAGAGAATAAAGTTTTATTTGTATTGTTTTTCACATTATAAGTAGGGTAACTCAGTTTGCAAAGTCTGCTCATTTGTGAAGAGGGCGCCACTGAATATTGAGGACACTTTCTTAATTGGCTCAAGAGAGGAGTGGACCATCTTGTTGTGTATCATCATTGGTTCTCAGTCAGTCCTAGTTGGCCGTGGCAGGCAGGGTTGAAGCTGCATGTTTCCCCAATTTTTAGATGAGAAAGTCCTGTATAATTATTATACCTGTGTGCTTCACAACAACTGCTGGGAGCGGTTGCTCATCATTTTAGGTAGAAGCTTCAGCTGCTGGGAGCAGCCTGAGGAGTTAATTGAGTTAAACTGTATTCTTCTCCTAAGGCTGAGAATCTTTCTGGGTGGTCTAAGGTCTACTGGGGTAATTTCAGTTGTAAAGCACACAAAGCATGCTATAGGGCATGAATATGCATTATATAAATACAGTAATTAGTATTATTGATGTTATTAAGGCCATATATTTATATTTGCAATAACTGATGTTTCTGTTCTATTTCAGGCCAAAATCAACTATTACTGTCAGACAGGCTACTATGGGCACATGGAGTCAGCTGCCTCCGAAGGTCTTCAGCGCTATGGAAACGATCCTGTTCTCAAATTTTTTGTCGCATTTGCAAAAGTTTTACAGAGTGAGTGTCTTAAGAATTATAATGTTGCAGTGGGGTGTACGTTCATTGTTTGCAGTCCAGTCTTTTCTCTCTCTCTCTCTCTCTCTCTCTCTCTCTCTCTCTCTCTCTCTCTCTCTCCCTCTCTCTCTCTCTCTCTCTCTCTTTGATTTGTTTCCTTCATGCCTTCATGAAGTCACTTTTTTATACTTACTTATGGAAAGGTTGCAAAGCATAGATGATATCAATTACATAAATTTTATATCAGAGGTTTTGCTGTTAGTATATCTGTGCTAGGGACCTGCTGTTCGATGGGAAAGGATGCAAACTGAAATTGTTAGGACATGTCACCATATCATACTGACTAGCTAAAATAGTACTGCAGTGCCCTGTAAAAAGAGGCAGAACCCCCCCCCAGGGCGGTGCCACTGACTGAAGTGTCTTTAGGCCATTCCCAAAAGGGACATTCCTCATTCTAATACACAGTAGAATTGTAAATGGACTGATCTAACAATGTCATGCTCATAACTGTGCCTGAACTGCAACAGGGAACTGCTGCTTTTTCTTTCCTTATCCTTACTATCGTCATTTTCCTCTACTTCTTTTGTATGTTTGTCACACTCTTGTGACCCACAATTTCCAGGGTGCCTTAATAGTGGAAGCAGACTTTGTGCTGTTGAAGCTAGACAGGTGAGCAGAGTAAGTCTGATTCCCTGTAAAGATTTCTCTGTGACAGCCAACCCTTGGCGCTCATATGATTTTATGCAGTTGCAAGCTCCGTAAAACCTCTACTAAAACTGAAAACGAAGAGGCAGAAGGAGAGGAAGGCAGAAGAAATGATAGGAGGATAATATCTCAGAGTGAGCTGTCGTAGTGTTGTCGCAACAATGAGAACCAAGTTCGATTCCCAAGTGGAGAGAACTTTTACTGAGTATCTTTTTTTTTCCTCTGGGATGCTGTATCCCTCTAAGCATGTGTCGGCCGTGACAGGCAGGGTTGAAGCCTGCCTCCTAAATGGTCTAAATTGTATTAATGGAGGTGTAACAAAAAATGCATACAACTTTTCTCATTCTCAGATCGTGTCCAGGAAGGCATGAGAGAACTGGATATGCTGAAGGACAAACGAGATGTCAACCTTTGCTCAACAATGGCCCTTATGTTTGCTCACAAAAAGTCAGGTAGCACGGGTGAGTTCAGTTTTATTCCTCACAAAAAGTCTGGTAAAATGGGTGAGTTCTGTTTTATTCTTAACAAAAAGTCAACTATCATGGGTGAGTTCCTTATGTTTGCTCACAAAATTCGGCTGACATAGATGGGTTCCTTTTGTTTGTTCATATAAAATCTTTCTGTCTCTCTCTTTGTCTCTCTTTCTCTCTCTTTCTCTCTTTGTCTCTCTTTTTCTATCTCTGTCTCTCTTTTTCTATCTTTTTCTCTCACCCTCTCTCACTCTCTCTCTCTCTCTCTCTCTCTCTCTCTCTCTCTCTCTCTCTCTCTCTCTCTCTCTCCTCTCTCTCTCTCTCTCTCTCTCTCTCATTCTCTCTTTTTATTCCCACTCTCTCCTCTCTTTTTTCCAAACGTTCCTGTCCTAGTGGTGGTATGCCTTGTAGGTATGGAGTGTTTCCCTTTTCATCATGATCATTCTGTCAAGGTTCGGAATGAAAACAAAAAAGTGATGTACGTTTTTTATTCCCCCATCCACACAATTTAGTTGGTGGGTTGGCGGGGCCCTGGTGTGATTTGCTCCTCCTTTCCTCTCTAATATTTTTCTTCCTGATTTCTCCTCCTTTTTTGTGTCAATTACTTTCCTGTAACACCTCTAATCTTCGGCACTTATATATATATATAGGTATAACCTTATTGTGTTACAAGTGCCATGAAACTGTAACTAAAACTGAACGACATAGTTAGATCATTCAAGAGACAGGATTTGACCCTGCCTCTCAGGATTGACCCTGGCTGAGACTGAGAGGGATACAAAATCCCAGAAGAGAGATTGAGATGCTTGTCAGAATTATCCCTCACTTGAGAATCGGACTCAGGTCTTTTGTGTACAATGTTGAAGCTCTTAATGCTGCACCTCAGATGCTGGTATTCCGTCAGGTTAAAGTGGAAGTAGAGTGGAAAATGCTTTTCCAAATTTTGGAGGATGCATTGGTGTTCCGATCATCATAACTAGTGTCTGTTGTTTAACAATCAGGCACTTCACCATCACATGCATTAGACATGAGTTCGATTCCTGTTTAGGAAGGTTTATGATCGAGTGTCTCTGCCTGTCTGCTAGGTTGATGTATCCCTCTCAGTCAGTTCATGTTGTCTCCCAAATGATCTAAATTGTGTCAATGCGGGCGTAAAACATTTACAAACAAAGAGGCTATTCTACATCTTGGTTTAAGGTCTAAGAATGGGTGGTTGGAGGGTGGCACTGATTGGTCCTACTTCTACTCTTTCCCTATGTTGTTTCTCTCGTATATGTTGCTTCTTCCCCGCACTGTATATTATGTTGATTGTTTCAATGTGCTTCTCTTTACTTAAATTCAAACTCGAAAATTGTGACTTATGGCCGTTGTTCCCCTGTACTCTTTAACTCTGTGAGGACTAGCCCTCTGGACTTTCAGCGAAGCTTGAAGATGCACTGTTTTAGGCACTTTAAAAAAGATGCTTATATGTTATCCATACAGATTTTAAAATGAGATTTTCTTTATCTGAAACTTAAAATTGCAAATGGGTTGCTCCTTTTCCCCATCAAACATCTATTGTCCTTATCTCCCCTCATTCTTTTTTTTGGTGTATTTTACTCTCTAGTAACAGCACTAATCACCAGCACTTATTTGACATAATTTTGTTGCAAGTGCAGCAAATCTCGTACTAAAAGTAAAGAAGAATCTAATGTGTGTTGCAGATCGGGATGCCATACAGGAACTGGACATGAAGCTGAAGGAAGAAAGAAAACAGGCTGGAGAACTGGTAGGAGAACATGTTATCTGTGACTACCTGAGAAAAGGATCCATATGTCCATTTTTTTACTTTCGTAGTTTATATTAGTAAGAGTTTACAGCACTTGCAACACAATTAGCTCATATAGGTGCTGAATATTAGAGGTGTCACTAGAGAGTATTATACCAAAAAAAAAAAGGAGGAGGAGAGATTAGGTTGATAGACAGTCGACAGTTTTGCAGTTTATTGCTTTTCTGCAAAAAATGAACTTTCCTGGTGACTCTGTTTTTTTTTTAGATAAATCTTTTGATTTAATGAAAATAAGTTTTTGAGGTATTGTCACTTTTTTTGAGCGAGGGGTGCACCAACTACATTTGAGAAAAATAATTTTAAAGTTTCATTTCATGTTATTAATTGATTCAGCCTGCAGATAATTCTGACTCCCAACACAAATAATTTGTGACCGCTTCTTGACCTCATGGGTGATCTCACAAAAAATTATACAGAAATATCTAAATTTGATGAAACCATATGTGTGGCATATTGAAATGTTCAGAATACAAAATACTATTCAATGAAACCAGAGAAAAGGGTTGAAATGAAAGCAGTCAGGACAAAAGACAAGAGGAAAGTGATGCGAAGAAAAAGAGAGCAAGACACAAGAGACGGTCAGCCGCGGCGCTGCAGGGTGAATCAGTTAATGTACATGTGTTTTTAAAAGCTTTCAAAGACTTACGAAGAAGAAGAATTTGTGTGAAATATTTTGTGATGAGATGATATCCTGACGCACACCTCAGTTTCCACCAAAATAAAAACATCCACCTGTCTAAGACGACCACTTTTCTCCTGAACATTGTCTAGTGGTGTGGGACAGTTTGGACTGATTTGTTATTCATCGACAGGGTCTGTACTTTGCCGGACTGTTTCTCTTTAACTCTGGCAAACACGACAAGGCTCGGGAGTACATCGACAGAATGCTCAAAATGGCGCCCCAGAATGCCGATGTGAGTAGTCATCTATATTTGAGTATTTCAGCATTACTGGTTGATGAGTGCTTTATTGTGGTTTTGCTCATTCTTTACTATCAAACGTTTTTTTGGTCCTTATTTCTCCTCCTTCTTTTATTTGTATGATACTCCTCTAATCTTTGTCACTATTATGACTTATATGTGTTGTCAGGTGGGTGTTTGCAGGGCTCCACTTGTAGGTCCTACTTTTTTTCGATTCTGTTTGGTGTTTGTTTCTATCGGTCTTGTTTCTTCCTTGCACATAATGACAGTTATTTACTCAAACTCAAACTCTGTAACATTTGTACTAAAACTGAAACTAAGAGGGTGCCAAAATCAGTCACTGTAAAAAAATATATTGGGTTAGAACTCTCTTTCTTTCTGATGCTGTTCCTGCTTGAATCAACAGGCTGCGCTGTCCCCAGCGGCCACCAGAACTATAGTAGGTGCTTGAAGTGTTTACATTTCTCATACCCAGTGCACGCTGCCAATCAGTTTCATTTTATTTTTATATATGAAAAAAACAACAAAAGTGTTTTTACTCCCCCATCAATGCAATTTAGATCATTTAGGAAGCGGGCTTCCGACCCTGTCTGTGCCTTACCATTCTACCACAGATGCTGGTTACGTTTGACCGAATCAGGGCCTGCCAGATTTTCCTTTAGACCATAGAGGGGCAAAGGCTACCATTTTGGTACAATATGACTGATTCGACTTGAAACATTGCAAAACAACGATGTTTGATTTTGAAAATCACAGTCGAATTTGGCTGTATTCAGCTGCATTGTGTCAAAATAATTGCTTTTGCTGACCCATCTATGAAGGAAGAATCTGGCTAGCCCCAAATGAATCTGATTGGCAGTGTGCTGTTGGTATTAGGTCATTGCCCTGAACAAGCTGTTTTTGTTTTTGCTCTTGTTTTTTTAAAACTTTAAAAAAACTGCAGCTTTTTGGAATGTTTCTTGTTGATGTAAGCTTTTGTTAGCTTTTTTCATTTTCTTCTTTTTCTTTTCTGCTGTTAGTTGAACTGTTTACTTTATAAAAAATTCTGTTTATTTGATTGTGAAATCTATTTGTTGTTCCAAATCATTTTGTGCATAAAGTTTTAATTTCAGTTTCTCATTCCAGTTACTTTGTGAGAACACAGTTCGAAAGTAGGGTCAACAATGAAAGTTACTTTGTGAAAATGAGAGACATGAGAGGATTCTGTGGATTTGAGACTGTCCATAGACATGTATCATAATATTCGACACTGTGCACTTTGACGTATTTCCGGTTCGCCATGCATCACACCATTTGCGCACTCGACTTACAGTGAGGCTGGTGTGTTTCCCTTCTTTTGTATGCCTATGATACGTACCAGCCCCACAAAGTTTTTTTATAGAGAGCAAAGAGATGGAGCCCAGTCTAGAATATTGTAATTCAAGTCTAAGAGCAGCCATGACAGTGCCCAGTCTAGGACGTTATAAAATAAGTCTTTGGGCTGCCATGACAGTGCCCAGTCTAGGACGTTCTAAAATAAGTCTTTGGGCTGCCATGACAGTGCCCGGTCTAGGATATTGTATTTCAAGTCTATGAGCAGCCATGACAGTGCCCGGTCTAGGATGCCATAACATAAGTCCTTGAGCTGCCGTGATAGTGCCCGGTTTAGGATATCATAATTCAAGTTCATTGGCTGCCATGACAATGGCTGGTCTAGGATAGTTCAAATCTATGGAACTTACTTATCTGCACAATGTACCTGAGAAGATTCTGTGGCCAAGGTGAGCTTAACATTGTTTCCGTTTCTTTATTTTTTATCATGTGTATTTCAGGGACTCACTTTGAAAGGTTGGATTGAACTTCTCAGTGGTCGAGAAGCGAAGAAAGCGATCAAGTTCTTTGAAGAAGCTTTGGCGTAAGTATTTTTAAAGTTTTTTTTTCCGTAAGAGTTTTACAGCATTTGCAACACAAATAGGTCATGCTATCAATACCAAATAGGTCATAATTTAAGTGCCGAAGAATAGAGGTGTTACTAGAGAGTAACATACAAAAATTAACGCGAACATAAATGACTGTTATCTTTTTGATTTGCCGTGTTTTACCCACCCAAAATTAAATAACTTTTATCGTTTTAATTTCCCTTTTAACTCACGAAAACAGTAAATGATTATTATCTTATCTATATAGTGCCCTTTTCAGTTACACAGATATTAAGAGATCATTCCGATTTTTATTCACTCACATGAACATACTCCCAAATGACTTTTATGGAAGCAACATCCCCCTTTCCTCCTCACACAAAATATGACGAACATGACCTTTATCTTATCTGTATGCCTTTTAATCCCACACACAAACATTAAATGTGTCACGATGCGGTGGAATCGGGCGCTCGTCAATTTTTGGGCATGTGGAGTTATTGGTATCATCTGAAAGCTGATTTATTTGCCTTGCTTCCAATGAAATAATATCCATAATTTATCTTGAATAGAACTTAGAACTCTAGATATCAGCAATTGAATGGAGGTGAGGTCGCTTGGTTTCAGTGTTGAAGTTAGTGAGAAAGTGGTTGCCAAAGTTTGGTAACTCCAATAGCTAAAGAGTCTTTGAAAACTGAAAGATGACACATTTTGTGCCTTTAATCAACGTTTTTCAATAAAATTCAAATGGAAATGTGTTTTAATATGGACATAAAAGCGGTTAAGCCACAAAAAAAAAAATTGATAAAAATTTCCAAATTTGCAGAAAAATGCGTTTCTCCGATTTCTGTATTTTGATAAGTGCCTGATTTCACCACGCTGCCTCACAAATATGAAGCAGTGTGGTAAAATCAGGCGCTCGTCAAAAACTGTATTTTTTTTCTGTTTGACAATTTTTATCAAATTTTTATTTTTTTGGCTTAACACTTTTTTGTCCCTTTAAAACTACTTTGCTGTGTGGCTTTTTACTAAAAAACGCTGATAAAAGGCACAAAAATTGTAAATTTACAGTTTACAAGGACTCTCAAGCTTTGGAAGTCCCCCAACTTTGGCGGCCATTTTCTCTCTATTTTAACTTCTGAAGCCAGCAGGTGACCCCCACACTCTTCAATCCGAAATATATCGACTTGTCTTGAAGATAGTTGAGTAATATTTCATCGAAAGCAAGGCAAATGAACAAGCTTTAAGATGATACCAACAATTCCATATGCCCTAAAATTGTGACGAGCGCTTGATTCCTCCATGTCATGACCCAAATAATGTGGTTTTCTTATCAATATACTGCCCCCCCCCCTCCCCCACGCCCCCTCACACTCTTCGTGGCGTACTCCAGCGACGGGTCCCGCAACGTGAGCGCACTGTTCGGGAAGGCCAAGTACTTTGAGCTGCGGCACAACTACAGCGGGGCCCTGGAGCTGATCAACCAGGTGGTGGTGGGCCAGACCAACTTCCTGCCCGCCTTTGTGGAGAAAATGAAGCTGCAGCTGGCCCTGCAGGACTGGGACCAGACCCTGGAGGCTGCCCAGCGGTTAGTTTTTGTGTGTCTGTGTGTTTGTTTGTCTGTGTGTGTGCCTGTGTGTTTCACTGTGTGTTTGTTTGTGTGCCTGTGTGTTTCACTGTGTGTTTTTTGGTTTGTCTGTGTGTTTCACCCTGTGTTTGTCTGTGTTCCTGTGTGTTTCACTGTGTGTTTGTCTGTGTTCCTGTGTGTTTCACTGTGTGTTTGTCTGTGTTCCTGTGTGTTTCACTGTGTGTTTGTCTGTGTGCCTGTGTGTTTCACTGTGTTTTTTGGTGTGTCTGTGTGTTTCACCCTGTGTTTGTCTATGTGCCTGTGTGTTTCACTGTGTGTTTATGTGTTTGTCTGTGTTCCTGTGTGTTTGTGTGTTTGTGTTCCTGTGTGTTTGTGTGTTTGTCTGTGTTCCTGTGTGTTTCACTGTGTGTTTGTCTATGTTCCTGTGTGTTTCACTGTGTGTTTGTTGGTGTACCTGTGTGTTTTACTGTGTGTCTGTGTGAGGCTGCCTAGTGATCAGTTTGTGTGTTTGTTTGTCTGTATGTTTGTGTTAAGTTTGATTTTTTTTTAAAATGTATGTGTTTTTACCCCCTTTGGACAGAATTAAGATTATTTTGGAGGCAGGCTTCCGACCCTGCCTGTCAGGGCCAACCCGTGCTAAGAAAAATAAAACATTCAAGCAGAAAGACGGAGATACTCTGCGAAAAGTTCTCCTCACTCGGGTCTCCTGTGTGTGACAGCAAAGCCCCCTAACTACCACACCACAGATGCCGGTGTTTAGTTTTAGCTCTTTGAGCCCTTACCACTGGTACACAGGCGGTGCGTAAAACTGCCCACATGCCTAGCCACCGGTACACTTGTGAGCGAGATCCCACCCCCAAACCGACCCATCTGAGAAAAAAATGAGGACGTAAAACAGCGTTTACTACACAAGACTTTATTTATTATTTTGAAGATCTTTCTAAATTAGATGCCTTGTCTTGACAAGGCCTACCCTGAGTTGGGTATGAACTGTGATTCTGACGATCTCATGAATGCTAGAAATTTACTGCTCAGGAGCTCCGGCAGAGGGGCACGGTAGCCTCAGGAGCTCAGGACTCAAAGGGTCAAAAGCTCAGAACTTATATTTGTATGGGATAGGGCACTATATTAACTCAATCTATTTTTATTAGTAGCAGTAAGAATTTTACGGTACTTGCAACACAAATTGGTCACATAAATGCTGAAGATTAGAGGTGGTACTGCAGAGTAAAAACAAATAAATAAATGAAAAGGAGGGGAGATAAGGACAATAGATATTTGATAGGAAAGAAGGAGCCAACCACACTGGAGCACCTGCCAACCACCCTTGAGTGTTTGTCTCTGTGCCTGAGGAAGGTGTTAAGGTAAACGCTTTCTTGTTCACATTCGTTGTGGTGAGTCACCTTAATTCTTTAATAAGTTCTTTCATAGCGGGTTGTTTCAACGCGTGAGACATGTATTTACTTATGTCCTGTCTTGTTGTGCGTATGTGTGAGTGCACCTAACTTTTAAAAGATCCACTGCCATTGTAAATGACCAAGACACATTTTTCCCTGCGAGATGAATAAAGATTGTCATTGTCATATGTTTATTTGCTTTTGTTTTTCTCCCAACCCATTAAAGTTCCTTCAGTTCTTTCATTTGTGCTCTTTTCTCACTCATTTTTCCTTCCTTCACATCTTTATATGTTTTCTCTCACTTTTTCATACCTCTCACCCTCTCTCTCTTTCTCTCTCTCTCTCTCTCCCTTCTAGAGCCCTGGACATGGACATCCACTGTCTGGAAGCCATGGAGTACCAGATTGTTCACACCTTGTGCCGAGAGGGAAACTACACAGAGGTGAGGGTTCAGAGGTCAACACTGTCGGGTATATAACACACATTTGGTCGCTTTTAAGCTCAAGGGGGTTATCCCGAAAAATGTTATTTTGAGAAAATCGAAGGTAAAGTTTTTGCCCCTTGTTCAGTTTCTTAAAAAAAACCAAGGAGAGTTTTCTATATAACCAAACAAATATACACACCAATGAAACCAATCTTTTCCTATAGGTACGGTAATGCCCACTTTTGGTGGAGGTCAAGATTTCTGGAAATTTCCGAAATCTGGGTTATCCCACTTGTCCTTAAAAGGAACCATTTGTGAGGCGGCATAGTGAAATTTTGTTAGTTTGAGTAGGTGTTTTACGGCACTATCGACTCCGTTTTGGTCATGTAAGTGCCAACGGTGAAATCAGGCACTCATCAAAACAATGAAATCAAAGAAATGGCCGTATTTTTGGGCGTCAGGCGAATTTTCTCAAATTTTATTATTTTTTTTGGCTCAACACTTTTTTATAGGGGTCTAGGACCAATTGATGCACCTCATACTCTACAACGTACTGGATGTTCATTTTTCAGAAATTTTGACACTCTACTATGTTGAATGATAACACAAACATACAGGCAAGCCTGCTCAGACGACCACGTGTTCAAGACAATCACCTGTACAAATGGCCTCTTCCCACGTCCCCCCCTTGTATTTTTTCATATATAATGGCACTGTCCGAGATGACAACCTATCCAAGAAGGCCATGCGAATCTCTCATCGCCTGACGCATTGTCATGAATTACAGTTGAAACTGTCAGGTTACGTCGCTGTCTCTTGCTCTCTCTCTCTCTCTCTCTCTCTCTCTCTCTCTCTCTCTCTCTCTCTCTCTCTCTCTCTCG